ACGAGGAAGGCATGGTACAAGCAAAGCAGGGTCCGTAGCCGGACCGGCCATCAGGTCGAGGCCGGCATTAATTAGTGGGTCTGCGGCGTGGGGATTTGGAACGACGATACCGATGCAAGGCAAGCAGCGCAACATTCCTACTGCCGCTGATGATGAATTGCACACGTGAAAAGGAGCACAAGAGGTGAGTACGTTGAAAAGTAGAGATCTCATACAGCATGCACGCTCCACTCTACCACGTGCGAGGTCTTGTTGAGCCTCTTTCGTCCTGCTGATCAAAATCCGCTCCTTCTACCCTTGGGCTTCTGCGAGCCGAGCCTTTGGGATCCGAACGGTTTGGGAGTCTGCGAAGCAATCCTTGGCTGGCTCACACCAGGTACCTGGGATTGGGTCTGCGGCAACGATGGCGTTTGACGTGGCGATGGGGCTGCAGCAACTCCAGATGATGCACGTGCACTGAGCACAGGTGGAAGTTTGGCGCTCCAGCCTGATGAAGCAGGCAAAGGCTGTGTGGACGAATAAGGTGCGCTTTGCGCCAGCTTTTCCGATCTCGCGTGTACTTGAGACTGTGACAAAGCAGCGGGAACGCGCCTGCTCAAAGTGCCCAGGCTAGATCTAGGTCCGATCGCATCTGGTCTGAAAGGTACGCGATCCCAGTCCGTCGGTGCCATCGAAGCCGACGGCGCTGCGGAGCGTCTTCTTGACGAAGCGACAAATTCCGTCCCACTAGACAGACCAGCTTCCGCATCCGTCTCCTCTTCCCCGTCAATCGAAGCGTAAGGATTGCGCCATTCGTACTCGGCAGGATGCGTGCCCACTTCCCAATCTTGCAGAAGCAGACGAGCCGTAAGCGTCGTCGTACCTCCACCTTGTGCTGCTCTGATAGAAGAGACACGAGGCGTCAAGAAGGCGAATCGTACCGGCGGAGGTTCTGTAGGTTCATTTCCGTGCGCCTGCCCAGTTTGCGTAGCCTGTGCAAGTGCTTGCAAATCTCCTCCCTGCTCCCGCATTTGCGTGGAATCAGCTTGTTCGTGCTCCATTCTGGACATCATTTCCTCGATGCTCTGAACGAGAGATGGTCTGCCGCCCAAAGCTCGGGCTTGCCCTGCCTCATCTTCCCGTTGTCGTTGTTGTTGTTGTAGCTCTTCCTGCACGTCATGCGGCAGAGGCACCTGGACACGTTTGCTGCTGCCAACTTGACTGGCTGCCCAGAGGTCCAGCGCAACTTGAGCAGCCGAAGTGCGGACGCTTTGCGAGACGGCGTCGACTCCTTTGACGTGTCCATCGACATGGCGTCGTAGCGCGATCTCGTCCGCCACCTGGTTAATATGCTGAATAAGGTCAAAGCTGGTCTGATCGTGCGACGAGGGGCCAGATGCATGAAGCGAGACGGACCTAGATCGCGATCTAGATCCCGAACCTGACCTTTCTCTCAGATATTCCTCGTGCTCTCTAACCCTCTTCCGTTCCTTTGCCCGCTTCTTCTCCTCGACCATTCTCATTTCGGGGCAGAACAAATGTCCCAAAAGACTCGGCATGCTCGTGCAGGTCCACAAGTCCCTTTCGAAAGCATTGAAGAAAGACGCAAGCTTTTGTCGACTTGCGAAGAGTCTTAGTTGAGCATGTCGAGATGTGATGGGTGCGCCTCTGCTCGACTGCCCGTGATCGGGCCTTAGGAGGATGGCAGCATTGAGTGCCGAGGGGTCCAATGACGACTCGTCACGCATGAACACTGCCTCGACAGACGCATCTTTCTCCATGTCCAAGCGAGTCGTGCGACTGTACACCTCGGCCATAGTGACCATACCTGCATCCAGAGGCAGATCTTGCAGTATCGTACAAGCCCTTTGTAACCGTTCAAACGTGGCGCCGCTGTTGGGCTTCCAAAGCTTTCTCGTCCCTATTGGATACGTCTTGTTGGCTTCGCGGGCAGCCTTGCTCTGCGCCTCATCCAAGAGGCCTCTGAACAGTGGGGAAAAGTCATAGATAGGTGTCGAGGTGCCGCTGGGAAGACCGCCCTCTCGGCGATCGGAAATTCTGGATCGCGTGACGCCATCCTGCAGGTCTATCGGTAGTTTGAGGTATGTGTTCGATGTCAACGCGAGCAAGTCTTTCTCAAAGGCCTGCGGCGAGGCGGCTGAGTCTCCTTCGCTTTTCTTGTCCGAGCCGGAGATCTCGCATGCGCTCAACCCATCCTCCTCTTGCGGGTGGCTATCTCCGGAGCGAGAGCGACTATTGCTTCCGGGCCCGATTCGCGCCTCGCTCGCAGTGTCGTCAGGTAGGTCTTCGCTGTACCCACGCGCGTATACCGCGCCATCCCGATCGAGCTGCACACAGAGTACGCTCCCCGCGCTGTCCGCAAAGGAGTTTCCTTCCTCAAGCCGTTTCCCGTGCACGTTGGCATTCTCATCTTCTTCCAGGTCCACAAGCTGTACACGCGCATCGTCTTGCTGGGTCCAAGGCTTGCCCAACGTCGAAGTGCGCACAAACAGCGGCACGTATGGAGATCTAGCTTCCGCGGGGGTAAGGCACGATTCCAAAAACGTCGGCATGCCCGTCGTGCTAGCTCTGACCCAATCATCCGAAGATGCACCCGGCACCTTTTCTTCCCTTGCATCATATACTTGCAGATATCGATCCCTCTGAGAACTCAGTACGGCGCTGATCCCGCCGCGGCGTTGATCCGGCATAGCTCCCAGCGTCAAGCTGGCATCTTCTCCACGATGGTGAGCCCAATCTAGCAGTGCGACGTCGGATCGCCTGGTATCGTACAGTCTCACGCTTTGCGTCGTGCTGGCCCACAAAACAGGCCTATCGCTCTCTGCCAAGACAGAAGTGAATTGCTCTGGGCGCACAACGAGATGCTGAGGCTGAGCTGTGGCTAGAAGAGTACGAGTCGGACTCTAAGATGCACCAAAGAATGGTTTTGTGCATGCCGCAGAACAAAGAGTGGAAGGGTGGTAAGCAACAGGACAAGAGTATCGCATAACGCAGATCCCCTGCATCCTACTCACACGCCAATCAACGCTCTCGATCTCGTATCGACTAGCAACGATAGCCTGATCCTCAATCACGCGACGATGCTCTGGAGCAGGCTCCTCTTCTAACCTCTGCTCATCCTCCTCGTCCGCTCCTCTCTCCTCATCATCCGCCTCGTCGCCCGACCGCAGCGTGCTCAAGTCTGCTGCGGACGAGATCGACGAGCTTTCACTCTTCCAACATACCCTGTACCATGTCTCATCCTTTCTCCGCACGCTGCTCCACGGCGTCCGTCTTGGCAAAGTAGAGTGCGATCTGGATCTGGATCTCGATGGCGATCTATCTGAGCGAATCTCGGGATTGCCAGAATGACGTGGCGGCGCATCTACTCTGCTCGTAAAGTCGAGCGATACATCCGGTCTCTTAGGTCTGCGTAGTCTGCATGCCAAGCAGTGGAGCGCGCAATGCTTGAATCAGTTTTTCTGCTCCAATCGTTCTGATCCAGACAGACTTACGAGGCCGCGTCACCCAATTTCAGCAATCCCACATCGCCCCTCTCATCCACAAGCAGTGCCTTTTCCTTGACCGAAGGATGAAATTGCACATCCACCACATTGTACCTCGAGTATATGAGCAGGGGACGATCTACTACGGATCTGGTGCCCAACGCATAATCCATGAAGTGCTGTTGCGTATCCAAGCCCAGTCCTAATCCCAAGTTGGCAAGGGATCGCGAAGCGTTTTTCATCCTCGAGACGTATCCATTCTCGCTCGCGCTTGCGCTCGCGCTTTGGGAAGAGACAAAAGCGGTTCTAAAAAGGACCCATTCTGCGCATCCCACTTCCCTCTCTTGTCGTGTGGGCTTGACGATGCTGACGAATAGACAACCTAGTCTTGTTCGAATCGCCAGCGAAGGACCCTTGTTGTCCGTTTGACTCAAGAGCGGTGGCGAGGCGCATGTTTCCAAACTCAAGATCGGATGAGGCGAAACGTAGCTGGGCAGACGAGGTGGTATGTGAGACGAGCGTTTGGAGGAGCTTGATCTGGCCGGCGAGCGCAGCGTGGAGATGTCTGTTTCAAAGA